TCTAAATACTTTTTTTTACTTGAGTGTTTTTTTTTTTGAGGAACTTTGACTCACAAACCATGAATCAGATTTTAAACACATTTTACGTCGGTTGTACTTTTTTTTACTTAAGTGATTATTTGAGGAACAACTTTTTACTTCTACTGGAGTAATATTATTTTTATTTGAGTACAACATTTGGCTATTCTACTCATTTGATCAAATTCGCAGTTGTATAGTGAACATAGGAAGTGAACATGGGTGCGCTTCCGGCTCCATCAACTCCAGCTTCAGTTCAGTTCTATTGAAATAACGTCACCCCTCTCTCTGTGTAACTGCAGCTGTAAGCCATTCTGGTTTTAAATTGTTCGTACTGACGCGCTATACATGATCCAGGGGTTTATATTTCACTATTTTATACGTCAAAAAAATCCCGTTCATAAAATAGAGCCTGGAGAAATTCACTCCTGTAACATCTTGCATCACGAGCTTCATTTGAAGGGATCCAAACGTTATGCGTGATGTCACAGTCCCTTAGTCCACTTGGTTCTCATCATATCTGTCAGGAAGATCCTTTGCAGTCAAAGTCGGTGAGAGAGTGTCTACTTCTGCTCCTGTCACGTGCGGCCTGCCCCAAGGGTCCATCTTAGCGCCTCTTTTATTTTCTTTATACATGCTCCCCCTGGGTTCAATCCTAGAAAAACATCAGATTAAGTACCACCTTTATGCTGACGACACCCAGCTCTATCTTCCTGTTTCCCCAAAAAACGTCTCATCCTTTGTTACCCTCCATACCTGCCTTGCGGAAATAAAAAACTGGATGTCCTTTAACTTTCTTCAGCTAAACGAAAATAAGACTGAAGTTATCCTATTTGGACCTAACACTGACACCCTCACATCTGACCCTTGGACCTCTTGCCACAAATTTGCACGGTTCAGCAAAGAACCTTGGTGTTTTTACGGACTCTCTTTTAAACTTTGACAAACAGATCGCAAATGTTGTTAAAACTAGCTTTTTTCAACTCAGACAAATTGCCAAATTAAAACCAATCCTATCATTCAATAACTTTGAAACAATCATTCACGCCTTTGTAACAAATAGACTGGACTATTGTAATGCACTATATTCAGGCCTCCCACAATCCTCCATCAACAGGTCACAGTTAATTCAAAATGCTGCTGCCAGACGCTCACCGGTTCCAAAAAGAGAGACCATACATACACCCATCCTAGCCCAACTCCACTGTTACCTGTTAAATACAGAATTGATTTTAAAATTGTATTATTTGTTTTTAAATCACTTAACTCACTTGCGCCACAATACATCACTGATCTTTTAACCCCCCACAGCCTCTCGGTCTCTCAGGTCAAACTCGCTCAACCTCCTGTCCATCCCACCGTCCCGCCTCAAAACCAGGGGAGGCCGAGCCTTCTCTGTTGTTGCCCCCAAGCTTTGGAATTCCCTCCCTCTTCCCCTGAGATCTTGCTCCTCCCTATCTCACTTTAAAACCCTCCTAAAAACACATTTTTTCAAGATGGCATTTAACAGCCCATGAGCTCTATTTTAAACTATTATTTTTATGCATCAAGTAACTCGTCTATGTAATATTTTATATTTGTGTTAGTGTTTTCATTATGTTGTGTTTCATGCTGTAAAACACTTTGGTGCAACTTGTTATGGTTGTTTTTAAATGTGCTATATAAATAAAATGACTTGACTTGACTTGACTTGACTTCTTTATACGGTCTAAGGCAGGGGTGGGCAATTATTTTTTCCATGGGGCCACATGAAAAACTGAAAATATTGTGAAGGGTCAAAATGTTTAACTCAATTCTGCAGAATATTAATTGTATTTCTTTATAAAAAGGAGTAAAGAGCGTTGTTCTAAAGAGCTGGTAAAATTTAGAGTTTAGGTTAGAGAGGTGGGACCAAGTTGGTTTTTTTTTGCAAGTCTCAAGTAAGTCTCAAGTCCCAAGTCAGAGAGAGTCCAGTCCAAGTCAAGTCCAAGTCGTCTGCTTTGAGCTTCAAGTCATTTGAAGTCTTTAAACCAAAAAAATAACCAAATATAGCTTAGTTTTTTTGTTATTTATCTGACTTTTAAAATGAAGTGTCCTTAAAAAATCATGGTATATGAGATTTATATAAAAAACACATTTTTTTTTCCCCCTTTTTAAATGTTTTGAGAAGAGTGAGAATCATTACGGTCAGAATAGAAAGAATGGAAGAAACGGAAAGATCATGTTCTTTGTAGTTCAGTCTATTTTACTGTATTGTTCTGTATATTACTGTAGTACATTTGAGTATCACAGTACTTTAGTTCCATCCAAAGTAACAAATAGAAGTGAGGGACATGTTCCAGTTTGTTCTTGTAAAATTAAACATTGCTTGTATCAACTGTAAAGAGAAAAGTATTTTCTAAAAACATATATTTTTTAAGAGAAGCATCAAGTCTTCTCAAGTCCAAGTCGAGTCCCAAGACTTTAGTCCATGCACGAGGTAAAATGATAAAATATGTTTATTTTGTAATTCCAGATGATGTTAAATGGGCCGTTCACAGTCGACCAATGGACCGTATGTGGCCCGGGAGTTGGACAGTTCCCAGGTTTGGTCTACGGTGACGTCACACTTCCTTAGACGATTTTTTATACAGTTTAAGGTGACGTCACAGTCCTTTAATCGATTTTTTAATACAGTTTATGTTGACGTCACATGCTCCTTTAATCCATTTTTTATACAGTTTATGCTGATGTCACACTTCCTTGGTTGATTTTTTATATAGTTTTTCTTGGCGTCACACTCCTTTAGTCCACTTTTTATACAGTTTATGGTGACGTCACACTCCTTAAGTAGATTTTTTTATAGATTATGTTGACGTCACACTCCTTTAGCCCATTTTTTAATCAGTCTATGCTGTCGTCACACTCCTTTAGTCCACTTTTTATACAGTTTGTTGACCTCACACTCCTTTATTCCACTTTTTGCATGTTATATGTTGACGTCACACTCCTTCAGTTAATTTTTATACCATTTAAAGTGATGTCACGCTCCTTTAGTCCATTTTTTATACAGTTTATGCTGATGTCACACTTCCTTGGTTGATTTTTTATATAGTTTATCGTGGCGTCACACTCCTTTAATCCATTTTTAATACAGTTTATGTTGACGTCATGCTCCTTTAGTCCACTTTTTATGCAGTTTATGTTGACGTCACACTCCCTTAGTCGATTTTTTTTTACAGTTTAAGGTGACATCACACTCCTTTAGTCCATTTTTTATACAGTTTATGGTGACGTCACATTCCTTCAGTAGATTTTTTTAATAGTTAATGTTGACGACACACTTCTTTAATCCATGTTTAATCCAGTTTATGTTGACGTCATGCTCCTTTAGTCCATTTTTTATACAGTTTGTTGACCTCACACTCCTTTATTCCACTTTTTGCACGTTATATGTTGACGTCACACTCCTTCAGTTAATTTTATATAGAGTTTATGTTGAGGTCACACTCCTTTAATCCATTTTTTAATAGTTTATGTTGACGTCACACTGCCTTAGTCGATTTTTTTGACGTCACACTCTTTTAGTCCATTTTTTATTCAGTCTGTGCTGACATCACTCTCCTTCAGTAATTTTTTATAGAGTTTATGCTGATGTCACACTTCCTTGGTTGATTTTTTATATAGTTTATCTTGGCGTCACACTCCTTTAATCCATTTTTAATACAGTTTATGTTGACGTCACACTCCCTTAGTCGATTTTTTTTACAGTTTAAGGTGACATCACACTCCTTTAGTCCACTTTTTTATACAGTTTATGGTGACGTCACATTCCTTAAGTAGATTTTTTTATAGTTTATGTTGATGTCACACTCCTTTAGTCCATTTTTTAATCAGTCTATGCTGTCGTCACACTCCTTTTGTCCACTTTTTATACAGTTTGTTGACCTCACACTCCTTTATTCCACTTTTTGCACGTTATATGTTGACGTCACACTCCTTCAGTTAATTTTTATACCATTTAAAGTGACGTCACGCTCCTTTAGTCCATTTTTTATACAGTTTATGCTGATGTCACACTTCCTTGGTTGATTTTTTATATAGTTTATCTTGGCGTCACACTCCTTTAGTCCATTTTTTATACAGTTTATGTTGACGTCACACTCCTTTAGTCCATTTTTTATACAGTTTATGTTGACGTCACACTCCTTCAGTAGATTTTTTTAATAGTTAATGTTGACGACACACTTCTTTAATCCATTTTTAATACAGTTTATGTTGACGTCATGCTCCTTTATTCCACTTTTTGCACGTTATATGTTGACGTCACACTCCTTCAGTAATTTTATATAGAGTTTATGTTGAGGTCACACTCCTTTAATCCATTTTTTAATAGTTTATGTTGACGTCACACTCCTTTAGTCCATTTTTATACAGTTTATGTTGAGGTCAGACTCCCTTAGTCGATTTTTTTATAGATTATCTTGACGTCACACTCCTTTGGTCCTTTTTTATACACTTTATGGTGACGTCACACTCTTTTAGTCCATTTTTTATTCAGTCTGTGCTGACATCACTCTCCTTCAGTAATTTTTTATAGAGTTTATGTTGACGTCACACTCCTTTAGTCCATTTTTTATAGTTTATGTTGACGTCACACTCCTTTAGTTCATTTTTTATACAGTTTATGTTGACGTCACACTCCTTTAGTCTAATTTTAATACAGTTTATGTTGACATCTTGCTCCTTTAGTCCATTTTCTATAGTTTATGTTGATGTCTCACTCCTTTAGTCCATTTTTTTAATACAGTTTGTTGACATCACACTCCTTTAGTTGATTTTTATACAGTTTATATTTGACGTCACACTCCTTTAATCCATTTTTTTATCCAGTTTATGTGGACATCACACTCCTTTGGTTCATTTTTATACAGCTTATGTTGACGTCACACTCCTTTAGTCCACTTTTTTATACAGTCTGTGATAAAACCGTAATAATAAAAGATAAACACAATACCACAGTGAACATTTTAAGTCTATTTATTTTCAAAATGAGGTATTTCAAAGTGCTATGAGTTGCAGCACTAAATTTACACATATTTAAAAAAAAAATGAAAAAGGAAAACAAAAAAACATCTTATATCTGTATACCCAGTCTGTATGCACCTGATACTTACACATATGAACAGAGGAGCGTCAAGAGCCAGGGCCATGTACTGTACAAAAGAAGCACTCTGGAGGACACAAGTGATATCTACCCGGAACTCATTTTCATACGAAAATATAAGTATCAAATTTAGTATGCGTCACACTAAAAGCATAATCGTGTAGAATTAGTAATATGGTACAATACAAAGGAATAGGAGGAGGAACATACCATAATATTAAACATATCCGTATATTACAAAGTTATCGCAACTCTCAGAAAATCGAGGCTTACAGTACTTTAAAGGTATATAAACTTCCAGTCTAGTTATTGGCAGCTTAAAGAAGACGTATTAAAAAAAAAAATGATCAAAAAATTTACAAAACAAGGCAGGTCTGAGTGGAGTTGGTTTAAAAGTTCTAGATTACGCCAAATTATCGCGTTATAATGTCATTCCCGCCTCAAAAACAGATCTGAAGTCGCGTTTTGTTTCATTCGCACGTTTGAGTAACTCTTTCCAAACCACAAAATGCTCCGTTCCACCTTGTCATGTCACGAATTGGAAGTTTTTAGGTTAATAACTCCAATAATCCAAGTAATTCTAGCGACGTGTTGCCATTTAGTGACATCGCGACGTGGAATTGAGTGGTTTCGGTTTGAGGGAAGAGCTCTAATAAACCAAACATGCAAGGTTTGCGCATTTAAACGAAACAAAACCCAACTTCAAGTCTGTTTGCGACGAGGAAATGACATTAGAACGATCGGAAAACAGCGTAATATAGCTCCTTTAATGATATTTACAATAATGGTATTTACAAAAGTGTCGGTAAAAAGGTGCACAGTACAAACGCGCCCACAGCACCGGAGTGAGGAGAGAGAGAGTGGCTATTCTAACCCAGAGAAGTGTACAAAAATCTTACTGTTTCTGTATTTCACCGTTAAAAATTCCCTGTACCTGATTTTCTTCGTATGTATTTGAGCGAAAAGTGTACGGATGTATCGTATAAGCAGCTCTCGAGGTCAAAACGAGTCCCCCCGCAGTACTGTCCGCGTACGATTTTAAAGCGTTCTGCTGTTCGAGGATCAGGAAGTGCGCTTTTAGCCTGCTAGTCGCCGCTACTGTTTCCGAGACGGTCCTGAAAAGCGCTTAAAAAACTCATTGGGGCGAAGGATTAAGACGCTCCGAATGCATAAAATGAAAAGCGAGGGAAAACTTTGGACCACTGCAAACTGGTTCCGTCGACGTTTTTGTTTGTTTTTTACGAAAATCAGGTACAGAATTTAACGTGTTTGCGCATTTATTTAAGTTTTTTCTTGCAGTGGTGAAGGCAAAGTAAGTGAACTCTCCAAGCAAAGTGCCCTATAACACCTTTTTTTTAAATTTCCCTGAATCCAGGCTGGTGTCACAGTGAATACAATAAAAAACTCATTTTTAAAAAAACATCCAAGATACAAAAATTATATGAGTTCAATGGAAGACTTCCGATAAAAAACTAAACAAAAACAACAGTTCATAGATGTCGCTCGCTTCCGTCGCTCTCCTCGATGTGTGGATTTTGGGGAATCAACAGTAAAAAAAAAAACTCCGAAACATTCTTAACGTCAACAAATGTGCAAAAAAAGTGTCTGCAGTGACAGTCCGAGATCGAGTCCCCCTTCGGACCCCCGCCGAGGGCCCCTAGTTGCAGTCGAAACGTGGGTAAGTCCTCTGAGAAGTGAGAAACGTGAGCACTTGGAGATATGCGGGAAAAACAGCCGGGGGTCGCGGAGTCAAGAGTTTAACAACGCCGTCGGCTGTTTCGTCCGCGCATCGACGTGGGAAAAAGTCCTCTGAGAAGTGAGAAACGTGAGCACTTGGAGATATATATAAAAAAAAAGTCGGCCAGTTCGCGTCGCCGGTTTCGCGAACGCTGAAAAGGCCATTGGCTGTATCGTCCATGCATTGATAAGTGACTTCTTTTACCGTGCCCAAAATCAAACATTAGTATTTACGCAATGATTTAAAACGTATTTACTAGGGATGTAACGATATCCAAATCTCTCGGTACGACATTTATTGCGATGATAAAACCGCTTTTTCCTCTTAAAAGTCCATGACAAGACTTAATCCGAAGAACTAAGACTTAAAAATGGTTAGAACTGTTGTTTCTTCTTGTAGTCTGCTCTGAAATGGAGCAAAGGATCATGGTCTTTGGAGTTTTGCAGCACCATAACTCTTGTAATTCGATAAATTGTGATGCTCCACGATGTTATTTTGAGAACTTTGACAAAACAATACCAGGATATTTTGGTTATTCTTGTTACATCCCTAGTATTTACCGTCCTTCAATGCCCTAATTACGTTAAAAGATACTTGATTTTTGAGCAATTTTTCCAGCTTCTTTAGAGTTAGAAAAACGAGGGCAATTCCGAGGTTCCTCTTTGGAAAAGGAGGCCCCGAAAAACAGAAATGTATTCGACAAAATTCCCATAAATTTGACATTTGTGCAAATTCAAACTGCAAAACTGATTCGATCGTGGAAGATTTTCACTTTTTGATTTGATTTCTTTAACATAACGTAAGTAGGGCATTGAGGGTCAGCTTAAAAAATGGACACCAATACAGTTATTATAATACATTCCGTGAAAACCAATGATTAATTTTGGACACAGCCCCATGTTCGGACAGTCTGTGTACATTCTACATTCTTTCGTGATTGCTTAAAGAGACTGCGGTTGCGGGGGTCATCCGGTAACACTGAAAAAGTCACATCGAAGCGAGTTCCAATGACGTTTTACTTGTTTTGAGTAAATTCAACGCGAGTCAAAGCGTCTACCGGTGGAATAAAGCTTTTACTTAACCAAAGCGAAGATTTAGTTTCTTGTTTTAAGTGCGAAGACTTGTTGTTTTGGCTGAAGTCTGCAAGTGAACTACGTTTTCAGTAGGGATGCACGATATTGACCGATGTAGGTTCTGAGAATGTCATTTTCCTTCCAAAAAAACGGTAAACTTATTGCAAAGTAGATCCAGTTGTGTTGTAATTACGTAATTTATCTTGCAAGTAACTAAACTACAGATTTGTATGAATAAACGTCATAAAAATCTGCCTGAAAAAGTCCTAAAACGTCAAGTTAAAGGCCCAACCAGGATATCGACTGAACCGATTTCACGATGCAAGTTAAATTTCCAAGATCGGTATTGGTGCATCCCTAGTTTTAAGCACAAAAATCTCGTTCCACTGGTAGATTTTTAACTTCACGTGCGAATTACTCAAATCAAGGTTCGCGAGTCATTCAAACTTCGCTCGATGAGACTCTTCGCAGCGCAAGGGGGAGCTACTTTGAGTGTGTTAGCGGTTAACGTCTCCACTTTTTAGCGTGTCCGACTTTGCTCTAGCCTGCGCATGAGCTGCTGCCTCCGCGCCTGCAGCCGCTCCTTCTCCTGCTGCAGCCTGAGCTCCTCCTCCTCCAGAGCGCTCAAGTACTCCGTCGCCTTCTTCAGGATGTGCACCTTGGCCGCCTTCTCGTTGTGGGCCAGCTCCGGCACGTGATCCCGTAGCGTCAGGAAGCTGGAGCGTAGATCGTTGCGGCGCTGGCGTTCCAGGATGTTGTGGTTGCGCCGGCGCTCGCTGTCTTCCGAGTCGGAGCCGGTGGCCATGGCGCGCGGGCTGCTCTCGCCGCTGGACGACCGCTTGCTTCGGCCCGAGATGGACGAGGAGGTGGAGGACGAGGAGTTGGTCCGGGTCGGGGGTCGAGGGGCGTCGGCCGATTTGGTTTTCTTGGCGGGCGGGGCGTGGTCGTCGTCGGAAGCGTAAGGGGAGGGCGCGGCGTAGTTGTGCTGCTGCTGGTGAACGGAGCTGCGCTTGAGGATGAGTTCTTGCGGCGCGCGGCTCACGAAGCGGTGGGAGGACGGGGCGGAGCGCTGGTCGGAAGGTCTGGCGGAGAGGGTCACCACGGAGACGCCGCGCCGCTTCTCCACCGTCACCACGTCGATCTCTTCTTCCTCCTCCTCGTCGTCCTCGTCCTCCTCCTCCTCCTCCTCGGCGTCTTCGTCATCGTCGTCGTCATCGTCTTCTGTGAGGAGACAAAAAAGCAAAATTAGTCATGAACATTAAGGCTTTATAAAGGTTGTGGTTGATCTTAAGAGTGACCAAGATCTTTGTCAGGAGATCCTTGCTGTGTGATAAGCTTATATAACATTTTGGACACAGGAAGAACATGCAAACTCGGGAAAACACCGGAAATAGAACCAAAAACCTTCTTTTAGTGAGGCAAGTGTGTCAATAAAATCGGTTTGTACAGCTACATTATAATATCTGGATTTGGATTGGAACTATACATGTTTTACTATAAAGTGGATTTTTAAAAAGTGGTTTAATTTGTTATTTATTTTCTTGTAAATAAAGGATCTATACCTGTTTTTTTTCACAGAGTTCCCACTCTTTTTCACAGACAAAATTTCCAATCTTTTCCATAACTTTTTCATGACCTAAAGTGAATTTTCCATGACTTTACGGCACCTACATGTGTAGAATTGATCAGACTTTTAGGGCTAAATATGACCTTATGGTTTGGGATTATAGTTTAACATTCAAAATACTGTCAGTGCATTTATTGTCGTCTCTTTTAAACAAAAGTCATTAACGTGAAAATAAATAATCATAATGGCCTCATGGGAACTTAACAGAACACTGGAGTTGCATGAAAGAGATACTAAAATTCCATGACTTTCCCAAAACTTTCATTGAATTTACAAAACTCCATGACTTTTCCAGGCCTGGAAAATGACATTTTCAATTTCCATGACTGTGGGAACCCTGTTATCGTCTTAAAACATGAAAAACAGAAGTCATTATAAAGTGGGCCAATCCTAACTTTATAAACACGTTTCTAGCATCTTTTGCCATGAGCGCTTTTTTCTACTTTCAGAGGCCAGAGCAAGCAACAACTAGCATGCTAACAGCACACCAGCCTTCCTCCCCTCCTTCCTTCTTAGTTCACGAACAACGAAAACACTACAAAAAAACGCAAACAGTTCACCGCGGTATTTGCTTTGTTATGCATTATATCTGTACTTGAGCAAGGCACTTTTTACTTTATTATTTGAATAATAATGAGTACAAACCCTTAACAATCGTTAAAAGGTCCATGTCCTATTCGTTTTTTTGAATTTCAACTAAGAATGGAAAACAGGAAAACGGGAAAACTGTTTGTTATTCCATTATTCCATTTTAGTGTCAAACAAAAAACAAAAAAACAGATTTCAACTTCGATTTCTAATATTTAAATATTTTAAATATTTAATTTTTATTTATTTGTATTTTATTATTATTATTATTATTATTATTATTATTATTATTATTATTATTATTATTTTTTATGTATTATTACCATTTATATTTTTTATTTACTTCTTTATTTACTTTGTTATTACATTTGTTATTATTTACTTTATTATTATATTGTGCTGTGTGAGCTGCTGTGTCTGATTAATTTCCCTTTTGGCTCAATAAAGTTTGTCTAAGTCTAAGTTTAAGTCTAAAACCTAAAATAATCGTGACTATTTCAAACTGTTTTCTCATTTTTCGTTCAAATTGAAATTCAAAAGAACGAATCGGACACGGATCCTAAAAGTTACAGTACTTTTTTAAGCTTTTTTGTCCCTGAAGTTTCTAACTATTCTTGTTGTTTACATCGCAAATCATTTTAAAAAAGGGCCCCCTAATATAATTTTCCACCTGGCCCCCCTTATTCTTGCACCGGCCGTGTCCTTCACCCATTCTTACAGTAACTCCCTTTGACACTTGAAGCACTCGGAGCATTTTCTTTTATGTGAAACGCAGCCCCGAACATTCATTTTTTTATCACATCAGCGCTCGAGTGTGGGAAGGCAGTAAAAAAAAAAAAAAAAAACGCGTTGCTCAATGGCAGAAACCAGTTAGTGCTTGGCGTCAGTCAATGTTAACGCTAATCTACCCGGCAGGTGTTGACACGCTCCGTCCCCGCGTGGAGTCGACGGGCCAGATTTCTTTCTTTTCTTTTCTTTGCTCTCCTCCTCCTCCACCCCTCCTTTTAAACTGTAAGCTCTCTTATGTGAAGAATGTACAATATGCTGACCTGAGCCTGAGGTGAAATCGTGGACACATATGCACTGGAAAAGGCCGTACAGGTGTTGGACAAATGTACGGAGAACGGAACTGAACCGGGACTAAAGAAGGACCGAACAAGATGCAAACTTTGACTGGAGAAAGGACTAAACCAGGACTTGAAACGGTGCAGCTAAGCCAGCCCCAAACCAGGTCTAAACTAGGACAAAGAACTAAACCGAGACTCTCGATTGAAATATGAAACAATAATCAACTATAGAAGGACTAAACCAGGTCTAAACCACGATTAACGAACTATAGAAGGACTAAACTAGGAATTTTAAGAATGCAATTCCAGTGTAAGACACAAGTAACCCCCAGAAGGACTAAACCAGGTCTAAACTAGGACAAAACTGAACTAGAGTTATCAAAGAACTAAACCAGGACTCTTTGCGATTGAAATATGAAACAATAATTAACTATAGAAGGACTAAACCAGGTCTAAACAAGGACTAAATTTCATGTGAACTGAGACTAAACTGGACTATCCCAGGACTTTTAATTCAAACCAATTATAGAAGGACTAAACTAGGTCTAAGCAATGATTAATCAACTATATAAGGACTAAACCAAGATTAAACCAGGAATTGTAAACTGTAGAAGGTCTAAACTAGGTCCAAACTGAACTAGGGTTATCAAAGACCTAAACTGAGACTCTTTAAGATTGAAGTATGAAACAATAATTAACTATAGAAGGACTAAACCAGGTCTAAACCGCAATAAATGAACTATAGAGGGACTAAACCAGGAATTTTAAGAATCCAATTCCAGTAAAAGACACAAATAAACTGTAAAAGGACGAAACCAGGTCTAAACCGTGATTAATTAATTATAGAAGGACTAAACCAGGTCTAAACCGCGATTAATGAACTACAGAAGGACTAAACCAGGAATTTTAAGAATCCAATTCCAGTAAAAGACACAAATAAACTGTAAAAGGATGAAACCAGGTCTAAACCAGGTCTAAACCAGGTCTAAACTAGGTCTAAAGTGAACTAGAGTTATCAAAGAAGTAAACCAGGACTCTTTGCGATTGAAGTACCAAATAGTAATTAACTATAGAAGGTCTAAACCAGGCCCAAACAAGGACTAAACTTGATGTGAACTGAGACTAAACTGGTCTATTCCAGGACTTGCAATTCAAGTAAATTATAGAAGGACTAAACAAGGTCTAAACCACGATTAATCAACCATATAAGGACTAAACCAGGAATTTTAAGAATGCAATTCGAGTATAAGACCCAAGTAAACTGTAGAAAGTCTAACCTAGGTCTAATCCAGATCTAAACCAGGTCTAAACCAGGTCTAAACAAGGAACTGTAAGAATGCAATTCCAGTATAAGACACAAGTAAACAGTAGAAGGTCTAAACCAGGTCTAAACTGGGTCTAAACCAGGTCTAAACTGGGTCTAAACCAGGTCTAAACCAGGTCTAAACCAGATCTAAACTAGGTCTAAACCAGGACTAACCTGGGTCTAAACCAGGATTAAACCAGGAACTGTAAGAGTGCAATTCCAGTATAAGACACAAGTAAACTGTAGAGGGACTAAACCAGGTCTAAACTAGGTCTAAACTGGGTCTAAACTAGGTCTAAAGTAGGTCTAAACTGGGTCTAAATCAAGTCTAAACCAGGACTAAACCAGGAATTGTAAGAATCCAATTCCAGTATAAGACACAAGTAAACTGTAGAAGGACTAAACCAGGTCTAAACCAGGTCCAAACTGGGTCTATACCAGGTCTAAATTGGGTTTAAATCAAGTCTAAACCAAGGACTTACATCGGTACCAAATATGGCAACTTAGGCTATAATTTAACCAGCTCAACTTAACTCATTCTAAACCGGATCCAAACCAGATCCAAACCGAGTCTAAACCAGAACTTGAACAGATCCCAACTGTGCTAGGATCCAAACCAGAACTAAACCGGGTCAAAGTGCTCTCCCTGCCCGGCCTCCCTTACCTACAGCGAAGACTATCACCGCCGGCGCGTTTGAAACCACGGGGTATGAGCTGTAAAAATAACTCTGAGATTAGACTCCCAATCAGCTGAGGGCGGGACTATCCCACTTTTACTGTAAACCGCTCCAGACGCTCCAGACACCCAAGGGCGCACGCGGAAACCTGGCACCCTGACACCGCCCTGGCACCCTGACACCGCCCTGGCACTGGCACCGCTGATAGATGGACGACAACAAAGCTCAGAGCGCGGAGAAGCCAGGCGGTTCTTTCCGTAAATGACACCAAGATCGAACTGTAATTACACCGTTTAATAAAAATAAACAAATAAATAAAGAAGATTGGTGGGACAAGTTGGCAAAATGTCGCTATATTTCCTAAAAATATAACTACTCAAAATATTTCGGTATAAAGTACCCGCCTACTGTCGAGTGAACGAATCAGACGGTTTCCATGAAGTGAAACCGGCATCTGGGGATCTTCTGTCCTGAGGGATGTTACTCTCCACAAACTGCCCTGACACATGCTTAAAAACAAGATGTAAACTGGGACTAAACTGTGTCTGTAAACGTAAAAAAACAAATCTATTTACCTATTTATCTCGCTTTCTATCAATCTATCCATCTATTTTGACAGCAAATTCTAGAAATTATTCATAACAGCGATTGGTTAAATAATAAAACAAAGTACCCAGCTACTGTCGAACTAACGACTCCTAAGATCCTAAGATGATAATTGCAGTATACAAAAAATGTCATGGAGGGGTCTTTTGTCCTGAGGGATGTTACACTCCTCAAACTGCCCTGACACTTCCTTGATAAACTCAGTGTAAACTGGGAAAAACTATGGTTGTCAAACTAAAAAACACAAATCTTTTTAGCTCTGTATCTCGCTTTCTATCATTCTGTCTGTTTATTTTGAGCACAAATTCTAGAAATCATCCACAGCAGCGATTGGTTAAATAAAAAAGTACCCGCCTACCATCAAGTGAACGAATCAGACGGTCTCCATGAAGTGAAACCGTCATCTGGGGGATCTTTTGTCCTGAGGGATGTTACTCTCCTCAAACTGCCCTGACACTTGCTCAATAAACACAATGTAAACTTGGACTAAACTTGGACTGGATTGGTTAAATAACAAAAAAAAAATACCCGCCTATCTTCAAAAGAATGAATCCTAATGCTGCGAGGTCAGACGGTTTCTACGAAGTGAAGATGATAATGCAGTATACAAAAAATGTGATGGAGGGGTCTTTTGTCCTGAGGGATGTTACTCACCTCAAACTGCCTTGACACTTGCTCAATAAACACGATGTAAAGTTGGACTAAACTGTGGTTCTCAAAGTAAAAAACAAACCTATAAAGTACCTGCCTACTGTGATATTGCAGCATACAAAAAATGGGATGGAGGGGTCTTTTGTCCTGAGGGATGTTACTCACCTCAAACTGCCCTGACACTTGCTCAATAAACATGATGTAAACTTGGACTAAACTGTGGTTGTCAAAGTAAAAAAAACTAATCTATTTAGCTCTTTAATTCGCTTTCTATCAATCTGTGATGGAGGGATCTTTTGTCCTGAGGGATGTTACTCTCCTCAAACTGCCGTGACACTTGGGACTAAACTGTGTTTCTCAAAGTAAAAAAAAAAAAACAACAACAAAAAACCCAAATCTGTTTATCTCTTTTTCTTGCTTTCTGTCAAGCTATCGGTTTATTTCGAGTGCAAATTTTACAAATCATTCACAGCAAGCGATTGGTTAAATTAAAAAAGTACCCGCCTATCATCAAGTGAACGAATCCTAATGCCGCGAGGTCAGACGGTTTCTACGAAATGAAACCGGCTGATGAATCAAGCAAAACATACAAAACGTATGATGGGGGGATCTTTTGTCCTGAGGAATGTTACTCCCCTCAAACTGCCCTGAAACTTGCTCGGTAAACACGATGTAAACTGGGACTAAACTGTGGTTGTAAAAGTAAAAAAAACAAATCTATTTACGTATTTATCTCGCTTTCCATCAAAGTACCCACCTACTGTCGAACAAACATGTCATGGAGGGGTCTTTTGTCCTGAGGGATGTTACTCCCCTCAAACTGCCCTGACATTTGACAGATAAACACGATTTCAAAGTAAAAACCAAATCTATTTATCTCTTTATCTCGCTTTCTATCAACCCATCCGTCTATTTTGAGCGCAAATTCTAGAAATCACCCTTTGGAGCGGTGCCAAACAGACAGCTGTGTAGATGGAGCCTGCCCATTCAAAACTGCTGTCACCCGAGCTGGAAGAATATCCCTTTTCCTCTCCACCTCCCTCCCTCTCTCTTTCTTTCTCCCTTTTTTTTTTTTTTTTTTCCTCCTGTAGCTGTTGTGTGGGCGGCGTTTTTGGCCAAGTGAACCCTCGGTGCGGTGTGCCAAGTCAGACGCCTTCCTTTGTACCACTGTGTCACCGCCAATGCCCCGCGATAAGGATGTTTATTTAGCGCCTCAAGCTGGCCACGGGGATAGCGACTTAAAAGAGAGGTTTAAAAAGTCAAAAAAAAAAAAAAAAAAAGTACAACTAAAGAAGCTCTACCCGTCTATAAACTTTAAATTTTACGTTTTTATCCATGTTCTGTCAAGTTCTGAGATGAAAAAGGGCACTATGTAAACTTTTTGCCCCGTCTCCTTGTTACGTAACCATGGAAACGAGCAGGCGACGCCACCGGGGTCGAGTTACGCGTCAGGTCTGTGGACAGGAGAGACGACCTGGCCCACGCTAAGAAAGATTTTCCAAAGTATTTCTGAGTAACTTTTAAGCTCAACATGAAAAACGTGTTAGTTTAATGCGTTTAATGCCGTACTGTGGAACATTTTAGGTTAAGATATGAGATTTCACATTGTTACGTCAAGTTACGATCAGTGAAATCGGGTGTTTTTTCTAAAATAACCAAGCTCAGTAACTCAATTTCAACGCAAACGTGAGATAAAACCGTATAAACTTAACATCTGTCATCGATAAACAACGTTCCCGATCTTCGTTTCATCGGATTAAGCTAAATCGTAAACACAGATACGCTTTGTTTATTATTAGCCTTGCGCGTAATTGGACAACACCAGTGCGCCAGGCGAGTCAGTCCGTGTCTTTTTGTTCCGCGGTGCCAGCTAAGGTCGTAACACAATTCCCCCATTTTATCGCCATCTGCCGGATGAAGCGCCCGCTGATTACATAAACGCGCCAGCCACTCCGCACCCCCGTGTTAATCGCGCTGTGGGGACTCGAATCCGCGCACACGCTGGCGCAAAACAAGCAAAAACAAGCCCACGTGTGATTTTCTTTGTTATTATTTATCGACAACGCGGTTTGAAGTCAAGTTATCGCTAAAAAAAAGCCGGTTTTGCTCAGCGAACGTCAGATTTACGTATGATTTAAGCACATCAGAACTGGGACTAAACCAGGATTTGACCCGAAACTCAACCAGGACTACTTCTGGACCGATCCAGAACTGAAATCACCGCACCGAAGAGCGACAAGTGTGAACGCAGCCTACAAGTGAGTGCGGTGTCCTCAAGAAGTAAGGAAACCCGACGTCCCCTGCGTGCGTGAGCGTGAGCGTGAGCGTGCGTCCGTGCGTGCGTGCGTGAGGTAATCGGATTCGGCGCTAGTCATATGAACAAGCTCCAGACCCACCACCTACCAACTTCCACCCAAACAATAACACGAAGTGGGCGAGCGCGTACGGATGTCGCGTCGGGGTATTTCGGTTTGTCAGCGCGTAAATAAATACGTAAACAGACTAAATAAACATTAGGAGCAACAATACGAAGCGCTGGAGGTGATTTTTGGGGTAGATTTTTTGAGGTGGCGCTTACCGGTGTCGCTGTGTGCGCTCCCGTGCGTGGAAGCGGCGTCCGCGCTCGTCGCTGCGTCCACGCCTCCGTTCTTCTTGTTCACCGGGAAGGGGAACACGACCGCCGGGTCCACGCACTCCGGCACCGAGCTGCGCGTAATCACTTCGGGCGCTTTGACGCACGCGTTCCTGGTTCCTCCTCCGCCGCCGCCGCCGCCGCCTCCTCCACCCGGTGCCGCCGCGGTCGTGCCGGTCGTACTCGCCGCTGCAACAGTCGTAACCGAGGTCCCGTGAATAGCCCTGCCGAGTTTCTCAGTCACCACCCTCTCCAGTTTCTCCCTGGCGCTGAACCCGCTCCACATGCAGTCCTGGATGATGATGCCGTTCGCGTTCGCCGCCGTATCCAAATCGGTCCCGAACAAGTCCAAGTCGTCCGAGGCGCCCCAAATATCGTCCCCGGGGAGAAGAAGCAGCTCCGAAGCCCAGTCCAGCGGATCCAGCGGGTCCACAATCCCGTCCGCTCCTCCCGTCGCGTCTCCCGGTAGCGCGGCGCGGCTCGGGGAGAGGGGCGGAGTGGGTAGCAACTCGAATTTCTTCCAGATGTCCTCCCCCGGTGGCGCAGAGTCGGGACCACAGAAGTAGAAGTCATCCTCGTCTGGGTAGAAACACGGCTGCAGCGAATCAAACTCCATGTCCTCCGAGTTTTTACCGATGATCGCCGGCATTCTCTCCCGAAATCAACGCTCCTGGCTGGGGGGGTAGAGAAACGACAAGACACGTTAGCCCCTCGTCACACCTGGAGAGCCCACACACGTTGCAATTGTCTAGTCTGCTCCTTTTTTTTTATTTTTTTGGAAATTACGCACAAGTACGCTTTCAAACAACACGTGTCCGGCTGTGCGTAAAAGTGCCAATTTGAGTGCCAATTACGCACAAGAGACATACTACTTAAAACCCAAACAAAGCAATGGCACAGCAGCTTATGAACGCGTAATAAAACAAGATTGCTGAGGGATAATTGTCAGTGAGAAATGGAAAAAGCGGCGCGTACCTCTTGTGTTGTTTCTCTCGCGTCTACCAATGTGCGCTGGCGGTGGTGAGAGCGGTACCGTGAGGACAGGAGAGGAGCGCGGAGGGATACATCTACTACTCGGGGAGCTCAGACAACCTTCTGACACACATTACGGTGGAGGCTGCGGTGTTATAGTCACTGCTGCTGCTGCGGGAGGAGGAGGAGGAGGAGGAGGAAAAAAAAAGAGAGAGACAGACTCCGCCTCCCTCCCCCCCTGTGTCTCTGTGTGTGTGTGTGTGTGTAGTGTGTGTGTGTAATGTGTGTGTAATGTGTGTGTGTGTGTGTGCCCACCCCTGCGCTCCTGTTCCTGCCCCCCACCCTCCCTCCCTTCCTCCTCCTCGGACTGGAGCGAGGAGAGAGGGGAGGAAAAAGGAGTGAGCTGCTTCTGGGGAGAGACAGACTGGCTGGGTCTGGCGAATTATTTTATTATTATATATCTATTTTTTGCTCGTTTTATTTATTTTTTTATTTCTTCCTGTATTTATTTATTTTTATTATTCACTGTTTTATTTTTTATCTTTACGCATTTATTATTTTTTATTCATATTTACGCGTTATTTTTATTTAATATTATTTTATTTATGTATTTTTCTTTGTCATATTGTGTCCATATGGGCCTATTTTGATATTGTATATGCGTTCAGCCTATTTATACACATTTAGCCTATGCATAATTTCACATCCACATCCACAGGTCAAAGAAGGAGACGAGGGTTCAACTCCAGTACAGCCCCAAGGTCTTTGTAACTTATCCAAGGGCACTGCGTAAAATGCGCACTCCAGTTCAGGAATTCCGCAGGAAAATGTAAACAAAGCACAATTGCAAGACAAGAAATGATAAGAGAATATAAATATTAGGCTATTATAAGGACTAACAGTGTTTTTTCTAGATTCGTATTTATATGCAAGCCCCGTGCTCGCCCCGCTTATCCAATCAGAGCGCACGGTCGTACTCTTGCTCTCCAAAAACCCTCCCGTTGCGCTTTCAAAATCCTCCCCTTGTCTCTTTTGTCTGAGCGACCCACCGGAATCCCAATAGACTCCAGTTGCATCGCTGTGGCTACTGTACCAAACCCCAAAGCACCGCGCGCCCTCTTATGGACGCTTTGGGCACTGTCTCCAAAAACGCGCCAGCCAGTCAGCCAGCCAGGACGCACGACAACAAACCAGCATCCCAGCCCGGTCTGACACGACTCACAAAGAGCACAAAGGAACACGAAAGCGAATCAGTGAGAGAACTGTTAAAACACCACAAATTTCAAGAACGTGATGGTAAATAATTCGCTCCATGACGCGTCGCGAGGTACGGCGCGATTTTTGGTTTGGACAGAATGATCCAAAACAGCGAGACGAGATGTTACGTAACCCCGGCAGCCGTAGCACCAGCGGGGGTAGAGTAGAGTGGAGGAATAGAGGAGAAGAGGAGGCAGCAGCAGTGGTGGTGGTGGTGTTCGGTTGGAGCATATTATTGGAGACGTGCCCAGTCGCTGTGCGTAATGAGCGCTTTTGGAGACGAGCGCATCTGTAATTACGCGCGGGTAAAAGGCGCAGGGATGTGGACTTAAGAAACGATCGTTAAGCACGTTTCAAAGGAGGGTAAAAGAAAAAAAAATACAGAGAGAGAGAGAAAAAAAAAGGAAAAACACACACAAAGGGAAGTAAAAAGAGGAAAGGAGGAGGAGGAGGTGTAATAACGTATAGGCGGGTTATTAGATTACAGTTATTTGATGTCATTGTGGTTTTCAATAAAGATGAGAGGAATACTTTTACTTTCTGGGGAAATTTATGGCTTCACTGCAAAAAAAACAAAATGTAAGTCAAGTTAAGATGACTTGAGTTAAGAAAGTTTTATCAAAATTTGAGTAAATTTCACCTGAAAAGTTAAATTATCTGGCACTGGTTTGTGACAAAGCAAAACAAGACAAGACGTTTTCTTGGAGAGAAGAGGAGAAAGAGGGAAGAGAGGAGAGGAGTGAAGGAGGAAAGGAGAGAGGAAAGAGGAGAGAAGAGAAGAGAGAGAAGGAGAGAATACAGAAGGAGAGCAGAGAGGAGGAGAGGGGAGCAGGAGAGGAGAAAGGAGGAGGGTAAGGGAGGAGGAGAGGAGATAAGATAGAAGGAGGGGAGGAGGAGAGAAGGAGGAGTGGAGAGAGGAAAGTAGGAGAGGAGACAGAAAGTTGAGGAGGAGAAGAGGAGGTGAGGAGAGAATAGAGGAGAAGGGTGAGGGAGGAGAAGAGAGGAGGGGATAGAGGAGGAAAAAGGAAGGAGAGGAGAGGGAAGAGGAGGAGAGATGAGGAGAGAGAAAGAGAGGAGAAAGGGAGGAAAGAGGAGGAGGAGCGGAGGGAGGAGGAGAGAAGAAGAGAAGGAGAGTAGAGAGGCGGAGAGGAGATTAGAGGAGGAGGGGAAGAGAGGAGGAGAGCAGAAAGGAGGAGAAGAGAGAGGAGAAGGGGAAAAGAGGAGAGGAGGAGAGGAGGAGGGAGGAGGAGGAGACGAGACAGGAGGAGAGGAGAGGAGGAAGTGGAGGAGGAGAGAGGAGAGGAGGAGAGAAGAGAAGGAGAGGAGGAGGAGGAGAGGAGGGGAGAGGAAAGAGGAGGGAGGAGGAGAGGAGGAAAGGGTTGAGGAAGGAGAGGAGGACAGGAGAGGATGAGAGGGAAGATAGAGAAGGAGGAGAGAGGGAGGAGAGAAGAAAAGAGAGAGGGAGGGGAGGAGAAGAGAAGGAGAGAAGAATAGAGGAGAGGAGGAGGAGGGGAGGAGAGGAGACAGGGAAGAGAGGAAAAAATAGGAAAGGAGAAAAGAGAGGAGAGGAAAAAACGGAAGAGGGGAGAGGAGGAGGAGAGAGGAGAAGGGAGAGAGAGCAGGAGGAGAGGATGAGAGGAGAGGAGAGAAAGGAGGAGGAAAGGAGAGAGAGAAGAGAGGAGAGGAAAGGGGAGAGGAGAAAAGAGAGGAGGGGAGAAGAGGAGAGAAGGAGGAGAGAGGAGGAGGGGTGGAAAGGAGGAGAGAGGAGAGGAAAAGAGGCGAGAGCGAGGAGGAGAGGAGATAGGACGGAGGGACGAGGAGCGGAGGAGGAGAGAGGGAGGAAGGGGCTGAGGGAGGAGAGGAGAGAGGAAAGGAGAAAGAGGGAGGAGAGGTGTGAGGGAGAAGAAAAGAGGGAGAAGAGGAGGAGAGGAGGAGGAGGAAAAAGGGAGAAGGAGAGAAGAGAGAGGATGGTGGAAGAGTAGGTGAGAGAAAGAGGAGTGAAGAGAAAGGAGTGTGAAGGAAGAGGGGGAGAGATAAAGGAGAGAAGAGACGGCAAAAACAAGGGGAGGAGAGAGAGTGATGAAAGACAGGAGAGAAGAGAAAGAGAGAGAGAGAGAGAAAGAGAAGAAAGACAGGGAAGAGTGAGAGGAAAGACAGGAGAGGAGAGGACAGAGTGAAGAGGCAGAAAGATAGAAGAATGATGGAGGAGAGGAGTGAGGGAGGATAGAGAAGAAGAGAAACAGAAGAGTAGAGGAGGGGAAATGAAAGATAGATGGAGAGAAGAGAAGAAGAAGGGGAGAGAGAGGAAGAGGAGAAAGGAGAGGAAGAGGAGAAACAGATTGAGAAAGAGGAGAGGAGAGAGGGTGAGGAGAAAGTAAGAAAAAAGGAGGGATAGACGTAAGGAAGAAAAGGGAAGGAGGAGAAAAAGGGAAGAGAGGGAGAGAAGGAGGAGAAAGAAGGGAGAAAAAGAAGGGAGGGCTGGGAATTCCCCTGCGGAGGAACTGTCATCTCCCGGAGTTTAACGCTCTGCTTTTTTCTCTCTCCTCCTCCTCATCCCTCCATCCGCCGTTCACTTCCTCTCCTCATCCCTCCTCATCCCTCCATCATCCCTCCATCATCCCTCCATCATCCCTCCGTCATCCCTCCGTCGCTGTCGGCTCTGACCCTGCGCTCTCCTCTTCCTCTGTGAACTCCTGTGTGGGAGTGAGAGACTCTTTCGATTTATTTATTTATTTTTCACTTTATTTTTTTTCTTTCTTTCCTAATGAAAACGACAGATGCCCCGGAAAAACTCGTCTATAAGGATATTTGTACGTAAAGAGTGGGTGTTACGCAAATATATATATGTCTTTTGGAGTTTTCTCTCGTGTTATAAAGTCATTTCCTCGGAAAAAAAAAAAATGTCTGAAGAGATTTTAGAGTCATCCATGTATGTTTGAGTAATCTAGAGATCTCTACAGGGAAAGGAGAGAGGAAAGGGGTGACGGAGGAGAGAGGAAGAGGGAGAAGACAAGAGGGGAGGAAAGGGTTGAGGGAAAAGAGGAAAGGAAAGAGAGAAAGGCAGAGAGAGAGGAGAGGAGAGAAGGAAGAGGAGGAGGAAAAGGAAGGAGAGGGGAGAGGAGGAGGAGAGGAGGAGAGAGGGAAGAGAGGAGAGGAGAGAGGGAAGGGGTGACGGAGGAGAGAGGAAGAAGAAAAGAGGGGAGGAGAGAAGGAAGAGAGAGGGAGAGAGGAGAGAGGAAGGAAAGGGTTGAGGGGAAAAAAGGAAAGGAGAGAAGAGAGAGGAGAGAGAGGAGAGGAGAGGAGGAGGGAGGAGAGAGGAAGAGAGAGAGAGAGAGAGAGGGGAGAGAGGGAGAGAGAGAGAGAGAGAGGGAGAGAGAGAGGAGGAGAAGAGAGAGGAGAGAGGAGAAGAGAGAGAGGGAGAGAGGGGAGAGAGAGAGGAGAGAGAGAGAGGGAAGAGAGAAGAGAGGAGGAGAGAGGTGAGGGAGGAAAGAGGAAGAGGGGAGCGAGGAGGAAGAGGAAGGAGAGGGGGAGACAAGGGGGGAGAGAGGAGGAGGAGAAGAAGAGATGGAGGAGAGGGATGAGGAAGAGGAGGAGATTGGTGAGGGAAGAGAGGAGAGAAGGAGGAGGGAAGGAGGAAACAGGGAAGAGAGAGGAGAGAAGGAGAGGGGAGAAAGGAGGAAAAGGAAGGACAGGAGAGAGGGAAAAGGAGGAGGAGGAGGAGGAGGAGGAAAGAGGGAAAAGAGAAGAGAGGGTGAAAAGAGGAAGAGAGGGGTGAGGGAAGAGAAGAGAGAGGGAGGAAAGGAGAGAGGGGAGAGGATGAGAAGGGAGGAGAGAGAAGGAGGGAGAAGAAGA